TTTTTGCTATTGTGAATAGTGCTGTAATAAATGTGTGTGTGCAAATATCTTTTTTGTAAAATGATTTGAGTTCCTCCAGGTATATTCTCAGAAGGGGGATTGCTGGAACATATGGCAGGTCAATTTCCAGTTCTTTTAGAAAAAACCACACTGTTTTGCATAGAGGTTGAATTAGTTTGCACTCCCACCAATAGTGTAGAAGCTTTCCCTTTTTTCCACATCTTCACCAGCATTTGTTGGTTTTTGTTGTATTAGTGATGGCCATTCTTACTGGAGTTAGGTGGTATCTCAATGTGTGTGTGTGTGTGTGTGTGTGTGTGTGTGTGTGTGTGTGTGTGTGTTTAAAGATAGGGGGTACAAGATTAGGTATACAAGTCGTCATTGTACAGGTAAAGTTTGGACCTCCCTTTGGTACCCACTTCACCTAGTTTGAGATCAGGTACCCTTATTGATGTTATGTGTCACCTCGCTCCCCTGGCAGTTTCTAGCTACTGCCAATCCCTTTTTTATAGTATTAGGGTGAATGTTCAGGGTCCACTTATGAGTGAGAACATGTGGTAATCAGTTCTTTGTTTCTGTCAATGTAGTTTTGATTTGTATTTCTCTGATAATTAGTGAGGCTGAGCATTTTTTTCATGTGTCTGTTGGCTACTCATATATCTTCTTTTGAGAAGTGTCTATTCATGTCTTTTGCTCATTTTTTTAATGGGGCTATTTTTTTCCCCTTTCAGCATGAAATGCAGAGACAGTCCACAGAATGGGAAAAAATATTTTCCAACCGCATATCTGACAAAGGTCTAACATCCAGAATCTACAAGGAATTCAAATGTACCAAAAGGAAAATCAGCCCATTTTGAGAAAGGCAGGCCTTGGCCACCTGGAGAAAAAAGGGGTCCCCACCACCCTCAGAGCCAGACTTGGGTCCCTGCTGCTGTCAGCACCTTGGGGCACCATTTTGGCCTATTGACTGGGGCTGATAGACACCTCTGCCATGCCCTCAGTGGCTGGGGAGAGTGAGTCCTTTACTGTGGGGAGAGTTTTCACTCAAAGGAAGTCTCACCCAAAGGAAATGTACACAGTGGAAACAGAGAGATGTGGGACAGTTGTAGCTGAGCCTGGGAGACCAGCCTGGTTACCACCACCCTTCTCTAACAGGGGTGCAGACAGAACACAACTTGAAAACCTCTGAGCTGTGGTGAGGTGATCTCCCTGAGAAGGTGGCTTTGGGGATTACTGGTTGGGACAATGGTTACCACTGAAATGTGAAAACAATAGTTTGACAACCACCCTGTCTGGGAACAGCCTGGCTGGGCTGAGCACTTCCCAGATGAGGAGTGATTATGCTAGGTGGAAATCCTCAAAGTTTTGAGAAGGCAGGAGCTGGCTCTTTTGCTGCAGAAGCTGTAGGGGGTTGAGAAAAGCCCTGTTGTCACCTGCTTGCCCCTCAGGCTCTGCTACCACTTGGGTTTTCCCATGGACAGAGTTTATACTTTTAAAGGGTTACAGAAGGACTCCTATGCAACTGTCTCCCTCCCCCAGGCTTCTCAGAAAGAAGTAGATAGGACCTGGCTAGATATAAATGAGTCCTGCATCCCACATGTATGCCCCCAAACATACACAAGTGAGGGGGACCCCAAAAAACAGAATTATCTTTTGGAGGGCAAGCCCTTTATAGTACAGGCTTCCCCCACTAGGTAAGTGTTCTAGGAACCCATTGACATCAGCGTACCAGCTAGCATTGTTGTGAGAGGCTGTGAGAGGCTTCATTGAGGTTTTGTTGTTGTTGTTTTGGAGAGTCTTTAAACGCATTTGCCCATTTCATGATGATAATTTATGAGCCCATAATTTATGAGCCCATACCATCCACACCATGCTGAGTGTTCAGCAGTTTTTGACCAAAAACATGGCATGACCCCCATGCCCCAGCCTTCCTATTCACCCGACCTTGCCCCAAGAGACTTTGTTTGTTTGTTTGTTTACCTGGATGAAAAAAGTTCTCAAAGGGAAACATTTCACCAGTGTGGAAATGGTGAAACAAAAAACAGCAGAACCACTCAAAGGCCTCAAAATCTACAAGTTTAAAAACTGTTTTGAGAGGTAGAAAAAGGGTCTCAATAGGTGTATTGTATCAAATGGAGAGTACTTTGAAGGTAACTAAAGTTTAAACATGTAAGAATAAATACACAGTTTTTTATAAATGAATTCTGGGTTTGGGGGGGTTCCCCTCTCATTTATGCATATACACATGCTCCTGTATGCATACATATATGCATAGATACACACACTCACACACTTGCACACATAGACACACATTATTTATGCATGTATGTCACACACACATATACACACCTTTGTTTTTGTGTCCCTAGGGGTCAGCATAGAAATCAAAATGTCTCCCCACCCTCCTCACAAGTTCATCCAGTAGAGGCTTTGAGAAACTCAAGACTTCTATCCTAGTCAGAAAAGATCATTAGCCACATTTGTTCTACCCCCAGTTACTTCAGAAAGTAGCCCCAACCACCGAGAGCTTCGAATTTGATAAGCATCAGCACAGAGTAAAGGGTCATTGAGTATTCAGAAAGCATAAAAATCAAAATGACTTCTTACCATCAACTCCTGGAAGTGGCCCAGGGGCTGGTTCCCAGGGTAGAGGAAGCCCCAGCCACCTCTGCTGACCACACAATGGCTTACCTGAGTGGACAGACGCCCTCAGACAGATGCAAGGGTATTGCACTTTTCTGCCTCAGGCAGGTAGAGTCCGTTGCTGACATTCTATGCTCTGGGAACAGCTCAGCAGGACCTGGAGGCCCAAAGGAACATCTGTTCAGGGAGTCTGTGCTTGGAGAAGCTTAGAGGATGGCATGAAATTGAGGTGTTTTTTGTACCTCAGTGCCCACCCCAGCCCTGGTATCCACTAGAGGCTCTCCATCTGTTTTTTACCCAGCTATTAAGACTATGCATTCTGTACTGCCGGGGAAAGACGTTCACTCTTGTTAGTGAGAAGTTCAGGTTGCAGGGCAGAGTGGATGTGTAAGTACGAGTCTGTCTGAGATCCATACCGGATGTGACCTGGTAGTGTGGACACCCTGGGAAGAGGGAAGTCTGGCAGCTACTTTCCCCTTTGTTTGCATCTGTTGTTTAAACATTTTTAAATAGCATTGTCAATTGCCCTTGAGGTACTTACAGTTAATTGAGGGAGACTAATGGGTCAGCTGATGAACTGCAATACAAACACAAAGAGATTACAACCACTTGAGCTGGCTACTGTTTCCACCTGCATCTTCCTTCCTTTTTTCCCCCAATTGTCATTCTCTCTTCAAAGAGAAAAAGATTTTCTTTCTTCCCATACATCTGCTGTCCTTTTCCCTTTTACCACCACACCCCACCCCCAAGAGAAAAAGTGCTTAGCATGGGCACGTGTGTATGCACTAGCAAGCAAACACGCAGACCCTGGAAGCTCACTATAAGCTGGTCACAATTTGTGTTCAATGATTGCTCCCCTTTCAGAGATGTTATAACCCCACCCTACCCCTCTGTTCCCCCCC